GTACTTTGTATAGCAATGAGGTTAGTATGGTATAAGTACATGACATGGTTTTTATTGTGTCATATTAAGGTTCATAAGTGATACGTCAGTGTAGGCAATGAAGGATAAGAACATACCCACTTATATAGCAAGGTTAATATATGATGTAGGCAACCATAATGTTTGTTAATAGGTAATAGTATAGTATTAAGATATTATACTGGTGTAGCAGAATTAATACAATGTATTGTGTTGGTATCATTGTGTCATATTAAGGATTGATCATAATGTTATAGGTTGTATGTATAGGAATGGTACGCTATTAAGATTTAAAAAATGTACTCATATATAGGAAGGTTAATAATTATGGTATAGGTCTATAATTTGGTTTTCATCAAATGGTTTTGGTATATGTAAAGGGTCATAGGTTATATAAGTAACTGCAGTGTGGAGATATCTCACTATTCAAGTATTTTCTCAACATGTACTGTTTAGCTATTATTGGTGTGTTTGTATAATATTAGTTGTCCCTTACTGGTTCTGTATGTATGTACATGTACCAGTGCCCATATTTCATATTCTTGTTTTAATATGTTAGTGTCTGCATGTACATGTGTTCATGATAATAATATTATTATGTTTTTGTTCGTGTTTGTACACGTGTCGTCGTGTTTGTACACGTGTCCTCACGTAGCGTAAAACTGCAACATCTCCTGGTCTCCAGTCTTGCTTTCTCTGGACAATGTTTGTCATCATTGGATCACTCCATCTGCTTGCAAGAAAACTTCAATCTATTTTGGTATTTTCAATCACATCGAAGTATCGTTTGTTACCATGCATCATGAATTAATTCAGTACCTTGTGAGAGCTAGTGTATCAATCAAGAACATTCCATATGATTTACTAATGGCTCTTTGGAAGGACATCAGCTAACAAGGAGGTTGTCACTGATGTGGACACAGCTATAGTGCTTTCCACTGCTATCATAGCATTGAAGCTCAAGCATCCAGCACTAATCTACAGTTTACAATATTGGATCTTCATCTAATACTAGCATTGAGGAAGGAGAAGAACTGATAGACTACCAGAGGAGGAGAGGAGAACATATTTGATTAAATGAAGACATGAGCATATTTTTTCACTGTATGGGTTGAGCTACCCTTTTTCACAGTGACCTGCTTTTAGTCCCGATCATGTGAGAGGGAAGGGGAGGGTCAGCGGAGGGGAGAGGGTTTCGCCCAGGAGTGTGGGAGAAGTCATGTCCCCCTTTTGGGTCGGATCGAGGCACCCAGTATCTCATGCTTGGAACCCTCTCTTCTCCTCTTTCACTCTCTTTCCTTTTTGTGTGATATGGACTCTAAGCAGAAGAAAGGATCAGACTTTTCTTTTTCTTTTTTCGTCTCAATCCTTTAACTACTTAAAAGCAGGCAAACACTATACAGTTGAGCTAAGCCAGGTTACGGTGGGTAGATTGGTGAGGTTTGTGATGCAGGTAGCTTGATGAACCTGGGCACTAGCTTACTAATTCTCATTCTGATCTCTTTCTCGATCCCGTGGCTTTGACTTAGGATCAATTGTTTAGTGTTTGCCTCACCTTTCAAAATAAGTCAATAACTTTCATTGTAGGTTTATGATCAACGTAGCATTGAAATTACGTGCGTGTGATCTGATGTTTTGATGCAAGTAACGGTTTACGTTGACACGATATTTGCGAAATCTGAATTCTGTGTCAAGTGTCTATTGTTATTTTATAGGATGCACAATTAATTCTTAATGTAATAATTATTCTTGATAATATGCACATTGTGTGGTAGATTGTGTATTAAGACTACTCATTATGTTGATGTTGTAGAGGTTAAAATATTTAGACAGTAGTGGTGGGAGGCAGTAATAGGTCATTAGATAATGATACAGTATTAAGATAACTTGTCTTACATTGTGTATACAAAATAAGTTGTAGGTATAGGTAGGTATTGTAGTAGAAATTAGGAAGCAGGTATAGTTATATTAGGTTATGGTGTAGTTATTGTGTAGTAGAAATTAGAAAGTAGTTATAGTATAGAAATTAGGAAGCAGGTAGTTATAGGATACAGGTTATATAGTGTACGTATAGGTTATAGATCTAGGTTTTATGATTTATTATTATTAAATTATTATTATCGTTTATAATTTTTATTTTTTTATGATTTATTATTATTTATTATTATTCTTTATTATTATTTTTACAACCTGGGCCTCAGCAAGAGTGTTGGGCCAGGTTTTTTTAATTTTTGGGCAGCAGTGTAGTGCCGCCTCCACGTGGCGCTGCCTGGGATCACTAGTGGTTACTACTGCTAGTGATGCTAAGAGCACTACATACAAGAAGAAAAATAACAATGCTAACAGTAAGTTTGTGTAAGGACTTTAATATTATCATTGATAGGTTCAAGCTGAAATAAAGATGAAATGTCAAGTGGATTGATACTCAAGACTGAAGCTAGAGATTTATATACTAGTTTAAATTTTTTGAAAAATAATTCTTTTAAATTTTGATTGCATGTATTTATGGCGATTTGAACTGTCATTGCCAGCTCTACAACTACTACTGTGCAGAATGGCCAAATGAGCCACCAACACATGCACATTTTTTTATAATGAATGTACAAAAATATTATGTTGTGTAGAAATTCTATTAAAATTTTAATTTTTAAGGTTCCAAATTTATGTCAAGATGTACATATATGATGTATCTATATTAATTGAGTTCAGTAAAAGTTAAATTTTTTGTCATTAAAATGAAATAATCTTGAAGACTTTACTGACTGCAATCAATAGGAAAGGAAGAAAGTCACTCCAGTCTCCTAGTAGTGGTATAAAAGGGCCAAAATTTATAGCCTCCTAGTTTTTATACATGACATGCATTGTTTTAACTGCTTTTATTCAGTAGCTATAGACCTATACATGCACCATGAACTAATTGCAGCCAGCCACCCACGTGTTCTCACATTTCAAAATGGCTGCTCAGGCAAAGTTAAGCTCGAAGTTAAGTGCTTAAAGAGAGAAAAGAGAAGCTATTCACTCCTTCAGACCCACCAAGAAGAAAGAAAGAACAGACTAAGACAGTTTACTAGGACCAAGTACAACCTGAGATACAACCAGAAAAAGAAATACTACTAATAATAAAAATGATCCTCGAAATCCTCGTACAGTATTTATTGGTAACATTCCTCTGTCAACTAAAAAGAAGGACATACTGAAGCTGGTCTTCCCCTTTGGTTCGGTCGAGTCGCAACGGCAACGATCAGTTGTGGTTTCTCCTGGTAAGCTTCCTGTTCGAGTTGCTAGGAAACTCGGAAAACAGTTGACAGGGACGACTACTAATTTCTATGTTGTTATGGAGACGGAGGAGTCTGCTAGTGCTTGTTTGGAGTTGAATGGACAAGAGGTTGATGGGAGGCATATTAGGGTTGATCTGGCCACACCTACTAATGACACTCACTGTTCTGTGTTTGTAGGTAATGTACCTTTTGGGGTTAATGAAGAGAAACTGAGAAAAGTATTTGAGTAAGTACATGTACATGTATGTATCCACCAGATCCGTGTGAATGAGATGCATGATATCAGAAGTACAGTAGAATCTTCTCTTAATTCTGTACAGTATTTGACTGATGTCTGTCATGTATTATAAAGCAGCAAATTCGTTCGCTTATTGACTTTGCTACTTCTATATTGCACCAACTTGGTAAGTCAATATGTACTTGTATTTTCATATACCTGTATATACTTGCAAGTGATGTACGTTGTGTAATGTGTACATTTGTACAATCATAGCTTTATAATTTACATACATTTGCATTGTACATGTACTTATGCAATATTTCATTTTAAATCGTTGCATGTACATGTACATGTACTTTTGTACCTTTAAGGTGGTACAATATGACATTAGGCCAGCGTAGCATCAATTTTTAATCAAAAGTGTGGGCGATTTGACCTTTTTGATGCATGCTTTCCGCTGGAATAGAACCAGATTCTATTCCAGCATCAATGTAATGTCAGGACTAGTATAATATTGTAAATCTGCCTTTATGTGCTACATTTAACCATATTTATTTTAATATATTGAAATAAATATATGGTGTCATTTAACTTTTTTCTTTCTCCCTTTCTCATTCTTTAGGTTTCACATCACGTTAATTATCACAGCTGGCAGATAGTTCTGAACTAATGGAGAGATAAATAATATTGTAGAAATTTTGAGCCAATTCTCATTTAAATTTTTTAATTTATGATGGTCGCGTCCCTGTACTTCTAGTCAGTTGTTTCATTTTGGTTGGATATTCTACATTGACATTAAAAGTTAGTTTTATTTAAATTTCATTCACCCTTTTTCAAGCAGTGACAAGAAAATAAGAATAAACTTAGACATTACTCGAATAAACCTGTACATGTCATGTACATGTAAATGGGCCAAGTTTTGAGCTATAACATGTAATCATGTACACGTATATTATACAATATTGGGATTTGTCATACATGTACATGTTCATGTCATTTAGAAGGTATTATTTTAAATTTCTCTCTCTCTCTCTCTTTCCTCCATTATACAGATCAGTTCCATTATTCATTATGTGCAGCTGCTGTGATTGGTAAAAGACACGATCTATTGCACAATGACTTCACACCTCCCTCTCTCCTGGCAGTCGCACCTGATTGTGACTCCGCCCCCTTGTTAATAATTGATGACTATCCTACAATATTAATGGAACTGGGCAGGCATTTTTCAGGTTTGAATAAATACATTATATATTATTAATAATGTAATAATTATTACATTGTGTGACAAGTGAGAGTTCCTTTGTTTTGTTAGTAATTAATAATTTTAATGTACATCTACATGTACTATACATGTATTAAGTAAACTAATTGCCTTAAATGAAAGTCATAAGAAAGGAAATGTGTAAAATACATGTACATGTGCATGTACAATGGTGGCTTATAAGGCTGAACACCTGTCCATTAGGCATCAGTGTCCAGGGATTTTTAGCAGCAAGGATACATGTACATGTAGTTTAAGAAAGAAAGTATAAAAGTCCTCTTTGTTGATGTAAGGATCCTGTTGATGTTCAATGACATACTACATCTACATAATGTAGTATAAGTACAGTGGCTGTTTCCCAAATGTTTCCATTACTGCTTGCTAAATGCTGTTATAAACAAAGCTGTTTAAGTGCTTGAGAGATTCTGAAGCAAAAAAGACAACTTGTTTGTCTTGAAAACAACAAAGTAATGGACTACAAGTTTACATCAAAGTCTATTATACATCTATACATATTGTACATGTACATGTATCTAGAGATGTGATGAAAATTTTTTTTCTGTAATAGAATTTATGCTTTGCTTGCTTAGGCTCATCCCTCAGTGCTTTACATTTGTCTAGTAATATTGTGCATGTAGTGGTTGCTATGGTGATGCCAGGATTCATTGTACCATATAGCAGTTTTTTTTGAGGATAATAAATTTCGCGAATGACCCATATCCAGAAGTTTGCAGAATTAATTTTTGCGAATTTCCACTAATCTGCCATCCTGTACCATATTAAATTGATTTTCAAGGAATCCTCAAAGTTCACGAAATTTGTTATCCTTGAAAAAAAACCGCTATACGGTAACTTCCTTTAGTTACAAGATCTTTGAATATATTTAAGGTATTGCCCACTTTTTGTGTCTAGCTGACCTTCTTTAGTGTTCCTCTCCTCCTTCCACCTTCTTTCATTTTGTTTTGTTGTTGCTTTTGGTCATCCAGAGGTCATCAGGGCTATCTTTTCCCAGGCTACTCTCATTCTTGTTCATTCTGACTTCATTTTCTTATATCATTCATTCTTGCTCTATCTTCATTTACTATCTTCTATCTTTATCTCTCTTTTTTGTTCTGTTTTGTGTACACAATTTTACTCTTTTCTTGAAATGGCAACCAAACCATCTTCATCTTCTCCTGGTCTCAGACTCAAACTGGAGAAAGAGCTCACCTGTCCTGTGTGTCTTGACCACTATACCAAGCCTAAGACTTTACTTTGTCTACATTCATTCTGTCAGCACTGTCTGGAGGGATTGCCTCTGGATAAGAAGAATGAGACCTATTACCTCTCTTGTCCTACTTGTCGTCATCATACAGAGTTACCAGAAGAAGGAGCAGGAACCTTTCCTGTAGCATTCCACCTTCACGACCTCAAAGAGATGTACAGTCTAACAAAGAAGACAGCAGATTTATCAAATCCTCAAGAGGCCACATGTAGTGATCATGGAAAGCCTTTAGAGCTATTCTGTGAAACTTGTGATGCAGTGATCTGTTCTCACTGCTTAGCTCGTAGTCACAAACATCATGAATACAACTTAATCACTGACACCATCAAAAGTTAAGAGAATGTTTATCACCAGTTAAGGGAAAGATGGAAGCACTGAAGAAGGTCCTGTCTGCTCTAGCAGAGAGAGAAGGTGAGATCAGAGAGAGAGAGAGAGGAGAAGGAGTCTTAGAAGAAATAGTACATGAAATGGTAGAGGAAATGATTGCTGTTCTTCGTCAGTCAGAGAGGAAACTGACTGAGCAGGCAATGAGGGTCACTGATCAGAAACTAAAGGTGCTGTCAGAGCAAATGAAATCAGCAGAAATGAGTTTGAGTCTTCTGGATAGTGTCCAGGATTATGTTGAACAGAGTCTGAAGACAGGCAGAGTCTGAAGACAGGCAGTCCTCAACAAGTCCTGAGGTGTAAGAAACAAATAAAGGAGCATATGAGTGAAGTTAATGCAGGGATCAATGTGGATGAGTTACATCCAAAGGAAAAAAGTGACTATGTATTGAGTAAAGATATCAAATCGCTACATTACATTGGGGATATTGTGACCTACTCATCTACTGCACTACAGCAAAGTAGAGTGAAGAAGATTAATCGTACATGTATTACACCTGCTGGCAAAGCAGTTTCATTTTCACTATCAATCGAGGCACCAGATTCATGTCTTTTGTGTGTTCCCCTCTCTTCTCTGAGGTGTAGTCTAGTACCAGTTGGTAAAGGTGATCAACCCATTCACACTACAGTCACTACCACTAGTACTGATCCTGGAGTGTATAGGATACAGTATAATGCTTCAACACATGGTGCTCATACTTTAAAAGTACAAGTATATGATTTACACCTTAATGATACCTCACTAGTCATCCCTTTCAATCCTTACCTTGATAACATCACTCCAGTACGTACTGTAACTGAACTTACGCGTCCCTGGGGAGTTGCTGTAAGTGATGATAATCATGTTATAATTGCTGAGAATAGTGGTCACTGTATAACGATACTGGATAGAGAAGGAAAGAAAGTGAAATCATTAGGAGGGGAAGGAGGAAGTGGTGATGTCAAGTTTTCTTATCCTTGTGGTGTTGCAATTACTCCAGACAAATTCATTCTTGTATCTGATAATCACAGGATCCAGAAGATAAGCATGGATGTGTACTGTAAAGCATCAGATTGTGAGAAGGGTAGTAGACCATTACAATTCAAAAATCCTTATGGTATAGCCATTTCTCCTATAACTGGACAGGTTTATATTGCTGATAGGGGTAATCATTGTATACAAGTCTTGAATTCTGATCTAATTTTCTCTCATTCATTTGGTAGCAGAGGATCAGCTAATGGACAGTTTCAGTATCCACGTGACATTGCTATTGACAGTCAAGGATTAGTGTATGTTGCCGATGCTAATAATCATCGCATTCAGAAGTTCTCTCCAGATGGAAAGTTTGTGGGTCAGTTTGGTACTAAAGGATCTAGTCCTGGAAAGCTTAATGGTCCAACAGGTATAACAATAGACACTGCAGCTACTGGTCTAGTGTATGTCAGTGAAGGGGGCAATAATCTTATATCAGTCTTCACTAGTGATGGGGTGTTTATTAGTAAGTTTGGATGTAAAGGCAGTAATATTGATCAGTTTAATGATCCTATTGGATTAGCATTTGATAAAGATGGATTTTTGTATGTTTGTGATTGTATTAATTCCCGACTTGTTGTTTATTAAAATGGTTATTGTATAATATTCTAATAGTATTTTACAATTATCAATAATAATAATAATAATAACAATGCTAATTAGCCTTATTGTCAAGTAATTGCAGTATCATTGAAATTAATGATTAATTTATAAACTATTAAGATACTACCATTATTTTCATGTTGTGTTGTAATTCATAATAATTACATTACATGACTCCACCCTCCTCTGACACAGTATCAGACCTAGTACTTACATGTACATAGGCTATAAAATTTTTGCAAATTTGCCTAAAAATCTATTTTGTGGATTTAATTTTCGCAAATTTTGTTGCCTGCCATTTTGTACTGTAATAATTTGATTTTTGCAAATCTTCAATTAATTGTGAAATCCGCAAAATATACTTTATTTGATTAATTATTATTAATTAATAATAATTTAATTTATTATTGTTATTATTATTATTGCTGTTGCTGAAGCCTATAAAATGCTGGTCTAATTAAGCGTACTGTCTCTTCCACTCATACCTCCATATCTGTCCGTAAAACTCTCTATCTCACTCTTGTGCTCTCCCAACTTACATACTGTTCTTCAGTCTGGAGGCCACATCTTAGAAGGGACATATTGCTTCTAGAGGGGGTACAAGATAAAGCCACAAAGTGGATTTTGAATGATTACTCCTCTGATTACAAGACCAGACAAATGTTGCCACTGATGATGACTTATCAGTTGTGTGACATTACATTTTTTGACATCTTTATCTAGTCCATCTACGGCATTCAGCATCTGTAACTTTGTGTCCTTCTCATCATCTCCAACTGAAAGTCAGAAAAAATATAGAGAAATTATTGTTTCAAAGAGTTATCCCAGCTTCATCCTCTGTGTTGATAGAACGAATTTTAGACCTGGTGCCTCTGATACACAAATTGGTGGCACACAATACAGTGAAGGATAGATGGGTTTGAAGCCAGCAGATGACAGTACTGTAGGGTTGATCCCATTTAATGGATAGTCTGTCAGCCAAACATTTCAAGAAGGAATTAGATTCTGGACCCAACAGACCATCTACTGTCATACAGAGTGGAGTGAAGCTAGAGTGGATAGAGTGACAAGCTTCCTGATTGACTTCTCTCTTTCAGCAGTTTTAAAAACTTGTAGTGGTGGTTTTCTAACTTAAGAAGGAGCATCAGAGTCCACTACCCTCACATGAAATATAGTGGTGGACTGGCACTGCCAAACTCCACAGATGGATATGTCACCAACCAAAGCCTCTGAATCATTTTGTGCCTCTTTAACAAGTGGTTTCTTAATGACCTGACTATGTCATAGAAGATATATCGTGTAGTACATCCCTTATCTCGTTATGATGTAAAGTAACAAGACCACCTTTTTTGCAGTCTAATGCATGGGATGTTGTGAAGGGAGAGCTACATTATTATTATTATTATTATTATTATTATTATTATTATTATTATTATTATTATCATAAAATTAGGACAGGTTAGAATAGATTAGGTTAGATTAGAGAGATTAGGGAATAAGAATTGAGTTAAGGAAAAAATAAAATACAAATGAAAAATTAATTTAATATTGTGTTTTAATGTAGCATGTAGTCAAGTGTGGCTCCGTCAGGTGTATTAACGGATCGCCACTTGGACTGAGCTCCACATAGGCATAATATAGATGCTCTAATGATTGCGAATGACAGTCTAGCTCTTAGCCAGCTTACCACTCCACTGCAGGGTTT